TGTGTTGTCAGTGTTGAAGTGAACTGACCACATCAACTAACGTATGTTTAAACAAATACAGAAGCCCTAAATTTTTACAAGCCAATCAAGTGTCAATCAACTGATCTCCGTCCAGCATCCGTCTGTGGACCATGCTACTTTCGACTTCCGTGTGAACCTATACTGACAGAAATTGAACGCCCATTGTTGGCATTTCCAGCTTATACCCCAAGAAACCTTAGTTGGGAGAGGTCTGCTCTCGAAAGCCGGACATGCTCACTCTCGCTAATCAGACATTGCATACAATCAGTGCACACGTACGGAATACTAACATGGCTGGAAAGGTGAGAAACCTTGACGCCAATATCAGAGGATAGATGTAACATCGAGCTTAGGTTATGGTGGCAATCGTGGAAAGAGAGATGCTTCGATACATCAAAGTTGGTTGATCACTGTTGGCGCGCAGTGATCACATGACTCACTGGTGCGTTTTGTAACGAGTGCACGAAGTAACAACTACGGGATCAGAATGGATGCGAAGTTTGAAATATATCCTCAAATACTATCAACCTGGTGAAAAATCTCTGCCTGACCTTCACGATGAATGTTCGTTAAGGCTGAGGTGGGACAGGTAAGACAATGGAGCGATAAGTGAATCGGCTATACTGAGGTAGGGTATCGGGTTCATCATAGATTTCCTTAAAAATGTGACATATTTGACCTTAGTGGTAAGCACGGCCCAGTTTCCAGGCCAGACATCTTAGCTAAACACTTCCTGTCACTTTGTGATGTGCATAGGCTAGATGGGTTTCACAACTGCGTTGACAGTATCATACTCCGCTCCACTGTTCAGATGTGTATACCTCAGTGATGTTTAACTTTGCACACATCGCACTCTTGATCGCTCTCTCTTGGACACAAGTATAGAGAGAGACAGACAAACTGAGGCATCGGTTTTTGAGTACTTCACAGCTCACCCTACGGCCCCGGGCACTCCAGATTAGCCATACCCCAACCATACACAACTAAGACGCCAGTTTCAGGATCCGGCTCAGCGTGCCGCTTGTTGGCATCGCCGTGATTCATTGACTAGTTCACCCGTCACCTGACTCCTGATTGTTCAGATCAACATGCATGCCTGAACCTACATCTCACGTTATGTTCCAAGTGGAATATCTTCTACACGAAGTATTGGTCATGCGAATAAAATCAATTGCCCCCAGGTCGGAGCGTTGGCAATCCAATGGACAGGATATATTTATGACCTGTTGTTCTTTTCATGGTTCGGTTTCGGGAGCACCATTGTAGTTTATATGTGAACAAATTTCTTATGCAAATTCGAACTGGTCAAAACAGTCGTTGGTTTGAAATTACTCCATTTTTCTTTGCTGTCATTGTTCTGA